GGGGGTATCTTCAAATCAGCATAATTTCCTTTTCCCTCAGACCCATTCTAGCTAGAATTTCCCACATTTACAAGCAATGAATTTCACACCATGGCATTAATAATATCAAATGTCTGGGATTTTGAAGAATCCTTGTTTAGTTCTATAGCTGCTGCTACTGTCTCTGACTCCCCAGTCTTCCCCAGATACAGTTTCTTCTTCATTAGAGTCCAGTATTGGTAGCAGTCCCATGACCTCACTGATCCATGCTTTTTATTTGGCTTTGTAATCCAGTGGCCTATAAAGCCCCTCTTGCAGCAGACACTCATGTTTGGTGGCGATGCAAACGTACTGTCCTCAGCATACTATGCTATTCCCTGCCTTAAAAAAGAAGGGACAAAGCAAACGTTGAGGGGTAAGAAAGATTGTTGTTGCCTTTCTTCTTTGTAGGCTCATCTGTTGTCCACCACCTTATATATTGTTCATTTACTGGTCCAGACTTAACTTTGAAGTTTGGTTCCTGTTTCATTTATTGGTATGTCTAGACCAACAGCTACTTTCTATGACCCCTGTCTCCACCTGATTCCCAATGCTGTGTTGTTGCTTGAGCCCTGATAACTTTGTGGGAGCAGCATTGAATCTTAAGGGTGTGAGACAAAGCGGATGCGCTGAGAGTATGCCAAGTCCACAATATAAAGCACTAGGTTCACATAGGTAAATATAGCAATCACCAGTTGGCTGTCCCAAGGGCATTTGCCCTGGGAGCACTGGAAGGGGCGCCATGGGGACCCATATTTACTATCAAAGCAGAACACAGGCCAGATCACTGCTGCACTCACATACATGAGGATGGCCATGAATGTGTAAATGACCACAACACGCTCAAAGGGGCACCGTAGCATTGCAGTTCTTCCTGTGACGCTGAAGGCCACTACTACCACTGTCATCACAAAGCAGAAGCTATAGACAGCTACACACCATTGGGTAGCCACGTAATTGCTGTACTGACTGTCATTTACCAGTGCCCCAAAGATGATGCAGGCCACGAAGGCCTGGACAATTTTCAGGAGGCCAGATACTGTGGCCATGTAGTTGGTTACCTGTCCTGGCTTGGCTCGGGTTAGAAACACTTCCACAACATAAGCAATGAACAGGAGCCCTGCGAAGACGCTAGCTGCTATGCGGAAATCTCTCACCTTGCAGCTGATGGGATGACAGTCAAACTGGACAAAATAGAGAGGGTAGATCACAGCTGCCGTGACGGACATGAGAGTGGCCAGCATGGCAAAAGCAGCTGTGAAATTCCCCCAGGAGATGCTCATGCAGCTGTGGAGACGCGTGAATTCACAGGTTGTTATAAAGATGGTGACAGCAAAACAAAAGCACCAGACGAACATGCAGAAGGCGCCATAGGCTGCACTGAATCCCCCATGATGGGCCACCAGGCTGAATGTAGTACATCCAAATGCCACCTGCAACAAACGGGCTACTCCCACCGGGGATGCCACTGCTGCTATGTTCAGATACGGCCCCCCTGAGGTCTCCATCATCTCAGCAGAGCTGGTAGTAAAACAGTTGAAGACCTCACAGCTTCCTTTCAGATTAGCTTCTGATTTTCTGTTCCTGTTTCTGTTCCTGTTCCTGTGATGGAACGATGGCCTGAATCTGTTCTCTATCCCTCTGCCAGCATCTTCCCTGAGAATGCCTTTCTGGTAGTTTCTCGGACCATTTCATTCTCTGTAGTTTTTCATTTTCTCTCTTGACTGTTTCTGTCTGCAGTCTGCAGGAGTCAGAGAGCTGGGTGAAGATCAGCTAACCCTGTGGTACCAAGCAGGAGCTGTGAAGATTGTCTTTTAGTCTGTCTCTTCACTGTCTCTTCTTTCAATTGCTAGCATGATCACTTTCTCCTTGGGAGCTGACATTTTATTCCGTTTTAGCTCCGCAGCTGTAGCTTTCTGCTTTGGTGATCCAGGAATGCAGCAGTATAAATAGGTGGCTATATTAATAGTCCTGGAATGTAATGAACTCTGTCCCTTGAAACTATGAAGAGCCTGGTGTGAGTTACACCAGAGGATTCTGATCAACAGTCTCATTTCCTCTACCGCCTGTTTTGTCGTTTAAGCACTGACTTTTGGTCAGTATTCCCAAACCCTGCAAAGGGTCCTTCTGGGGAAGGGGCTCAGATCCCACTACACCACAGAAGCTGGAGTTTGGTGTTGCATATTCAGTGGCACCAAATTATGATATCACATAAGCTGCTGGGAGGGAGGGTGTGGACCCAGTAGCACAACAGAGACTCAATGGCTCCTACCATCCCATGCAGGTCTCTGACCCCCTAGGATGGAGTTCACCGATCTACGGGATGCTGAACCTAGTGTGCCCTCTTGGCTTGGGATGGAGGTGTTTTGATCTGTGGAATTTCATGACCAGTTCTTGTCTCTCTGAAGTTTTCTTTGTGCATTAGACATACGGGAATGGAGGAATATGCCTTTTATTTTCTGCCTTAAAGTGAAGCGGGGTGGTGATAAGAAGCTGCATTTGCAGGCTTAGCTCAGAGAAGCAGAAAGGGTTAACCCAACAGCAGCGCTCTCCAGACTTTTTAAGTACAAGATCCCTTTTTGAATTAAAGTGTAACCCAGGATCTACCCCACCCCCTCATGCTTTTCTCCCTCCCTCCATCACTTGCTCTCCCCCACCCTCACTCATTTTCACTGGGCTGGGGCAGAGTTCAGGTGTGGGCAGGGGTTGGGCAGGGCCGTATTAAGACCTTTAAAGGCCCTAAGCACTGAAAAGATTATGGTGCCCCCCCATTATGTAATTCACAATAAAAACAATACTATACCGTAAAATCTTTTTTTTTTTGGTGCCCCTTCTTTGCTGGTGCCCTAAGCACATGCTTGGTCTGCCTATTGGGTAATCCAGCCCTGGGGCTGGGGTGCTGGTTTTGAGAGGGGGCTGGGGTAGGAGGTTGCAGAGTGGTGCAGGTTCCTGCTGCATGACACTTACTTCATGCAGCTCCTGGTCTTCAGTTCTGCAGGGCTAAGGCAGGTTACCTGCCTGCCCCCGCCGGGTGCTGCTCCTAGGAGGGGCTAGCTCATCCCTACAGACCCTAGAGAGGCATGTGGCACTGCGTGCTGCTCCTGCCTGCAGGCACCACCCCACTGCTCCCATTGGCTGCAGTTTCCTATTCCCTGCGAATGGGAGCTGCAGGGACCGTGTCTGCTGACAGGAGCAACACACAGAGACAGCCCCACAGGGGCTGCAGGTCCATGATGGCAGCTTCCAGGAAGCGTTATATGGACTTGTTAAAGCATAACTTAAAGAAGTGCAATATTAGGGATCTAAAAGGGTGTCACAAGGAGGAGGGAAAAAATTGTTTTCCTGGGCCTCTGAGAACAGGATAAGAAGCAATTGTCTTAAACTGCAGCAGGGAAGGGTTAGGTTGGACATTAGGAAAAACTTCCTATCTGTCAGGGTGGTTAAACACTGGAATAAATTGCCTAGGGAAGTTGTGGAATCTCCATCACTTGAGATATTTAAGAGCAGATTAGACAGACACCTGCCAGGGATGGTCTAGATGGTACTGGGTCCTGCTGTGAGGGCAGGGGACTGGTCTTCATGACCTCTCGAGGTCCCTTCCAATTCTAGTGTTCTATGATTGACATCGACACTTGGGAGACACTCGCCCAGGAATATTCAAAATGGAGAGAAGTCCTACATGATGGCCCCCTGCATTATGAATTTGCCCATTGACAAGCTGAGGAAGATAAGAGGGTCAGGAGGACATAAGGTCTTGCCTGTACATTGTACCCATGGCATCCTGAGACAGAGGAGATTCCTCCTCCTTGTTCTCTTCCTGGTGGGCCATGCTTGCAACTCTCAAAATACTACACCATTAGGCACACCAAGGTACACAGCAACATCACAATAGTTTGATGCAAAATGGTATCCATGAAGGGGGTCATGCGCATGCTGCTGTGGCATTCTGCGAGGACAACCAGAGTCAAAAAGGGCATGAAAAGACTGTTTCCTGTTGATCTCAAGCCAGGGAACAGAGAGTAGACAAGCACATTTTGAGATGCTGACTACATGAACCCCTAGCCACCCGCTCCACAGTTTTGGTCCCAGATGCAAGGGGAACATAATGCAGAATGCAGAGCAGCGCAGGCACTGCGGGATTGCTACCTTCAGTATATCGCTCTCAAAGTCAATGGCAGTCTCCCTAATGGGGTTGCGCTGCTTTGAACTACATTGAATTCTTGTGCACAGTGGGGACACAGACCTTCAACTTTGCAAAATTGGGTAACCAGATATTGGCCTTAATAGATTTTGCCTTATCTCTATGTCAGATGTGGTCTAAGAGAATACCTTATTGCCTCTGTGTCAATTCATGGTATGCCTACATATTGCATATTGTGTGCAGATGTCACCTCATGTCACTGGCATGGGAAAAGGTTCAGAAAAGGGTACCCAAAAATTATTAGTGGTATGGAATGACTGCTATATGAGGAAAGAGTTAAAAGTCTGGGGCTTTGTCTACACTGGCAAGTTATTTCGGAAAATCAGCCGCTTTTCCAGAAAAACTTGCCAGCTGTCTACACTAGCTGCTTGAATTTCCGGAAAAGCACTGATGATCTACTGTAAAATCATCAGTGCTTTTCTGGAAAAACTATGCTACTCCCGTTCGGGCAAAAGTCTTTTTCCGGAAAACTGTTCCGGAAAAGGGCCAGTGTAGACAGCACAGTAGTGTTTTCCGCAAAAAAGCCCAGATCGCAAAAATGATGATCGGGGCTTTTTTGCGGAAAAGTGCGTCTAGATTGGCCACGGACGCTTTTCCGGAAAAAGTGCTTTTCCGGAAAAGCGTACTGCCAATCTAGACGTGCTTTTCCAAAAATCATGCCAGTGTAGACGTAGCCTGGGAGTTTTCAGCTGGGAAAAGAGATGACTAAGGGGGGGAAATATGATAGAAGTTTATAAAATCATAACTGATGTGGAGAAAGTGAATAAAAGAAGAGTTATTTATTTCATCCCATAACACAAGGATTAGGGGCCATCAAATGAAATGAATAGGTAGCAGGTTTAAAACAAAAGGAAATACTTCTTCACCCAATGCACAGTCAACCTATGGAACTCCTTGACAGAGGATGTGAGAAGGCCAAGAATTTAACAGGGTTCAAAAAAGAACTAAATACGTTCATGGAGGATGGGCAGGGATGGTGTCCCTGCCCTCTGTCAGAAGCTGGAAATGGGTGACAGGGGATGGATCACTTAATGATTCCCTGTGCTGTTCATTCCCTATGGAGCACCTGGCATTGGCCACTGTCAGCAGACCGGACTCTGGGCTGGATGGACCTTTGGTCTGACCCAATATGGCTGTCCTTGTGTTACGTTCTCATGTGCTCCTTAGATGTACTGATTAAAACAATTCTCCAACAGAGAAGTCAGTGATAGATTTTGCCAGCAGAGGGCAGTGATATGCTTCATTGGACAATTCAGGAACAAGAGGATAGATGCACTGGAAAGAAACACTGAAATAGCTGAGGGTTTCAACTTGCTGCTTAAGAGTACTTGGGTTGAAAGTTGGATTCCCTGGCCTTTGGTGGAGCCCTGGCCCCACTTGGGATATTACTAAATCATCCCAAATGACTGCCTCACACAGGAGTCCAAAGAACAGTTTGGTTGTTGCATTTAGCAGATAGAAGATGATAGCAAATGGCAGCTGTAGTATTCTGAGATGGCAGTCTCCAGTCCCTCCTTTGGAACTCTGTCTCCTAAACTCTGGCAGATTCCTTTTTTCAATCCCTGAGGCACATCAGACAGCCCTTTGCTAATAGGCCCTGGCAGCATGCCAGGCCAGAGACTGTGAGCTGCAAAAGAAATTTTGCAGGTAAAATAAAAGGTATTGGAGGCACACACAGCTGATGGGGTGTCAGATAACACACTATGTTATTTAGCACCAGTATACGGTGATGCATAGGTAGAATCAGACAGAAAACATTACAAAGCTCAAGAAAAGTTACCACTCCAGCCACAGAGAAAACATTGTTTTGTGTAACACATTAAAAAAAATGACATTTACCTTCTCCCCTCCCATCCCCCTTCTGTTCTGAAATTTGATTTGTCTTTTTCATAAGTTTATTTTTTTTTAATGGTATCCTTTGGTATATATGGTTGTGACAATTTTCTTCCACTATTTGATCTGAGGAAGTGGGTCTGGCCCACGAAAGCTCATCACCTAATAAACCATCTTGTTTGTCTTTAAAGTGCTACATAGTCCTGTATCTTGTTTCAGCTACACCTGACTAACACGGCTACATTTCTATCACTGTTTTGTGTAAGTAAGAGATGAAATGCTTGACTTCTTGGAATGTATCCTAAACTACCATCTGATGGTCAGAGAGAAAGGTGAGAGATACTAAGATCGTCTGGTACTAGGTGTCTGTGCAGAGCCAATTTCGGCATAAAGCAGTATAAATAATGAATTATTTTCCTTGATGGGCTCCTTAATTTCTTTCTTTGTATTCCAGTCTGTTGTCAGATAATTCAGATATTTTTATACTATTGATCACAACTTTTTTTAGAAATGTCACTGGAGCAGACTGTCATTCTGCCTGGCTGTTTATTTTATGGATTTTTGTTCTTTTCAGCCCATTGAACTTGGCTTTGCTTGATTAGTCTCATGGCTAATAGGTCTCTAAGTTCTATCCATGGGGGGAGGAGCCTAATACTGAAATCATTCCCCTTGCCAGTACTGGTTAGTCACTTGTCTTGTATGCTGGTGCCATTGAGTGGTTACTCAAGTTTTGTCTGGCGTGTGTTCAGAGAAAGCACTCTGTTCCATTTCTTCTTGTTTTCAAGAGTTCTTGATGTTATTCATTGAATAGGGCGGCTGCTAAAGCCAGTTCTATAAATTTATCCTGGCTCCAGACAGGCATGTTGTGTGTCATTGTTATTCTGTATCACATTTCTGACATTATAATGGGCTTGTGTCTCCCTGCATGGGATTTTTTTGTAACTATTCAGGTCACCTCTCAATTCATTTGTTATATTTCTAATTATGTTGTCTGTATTTTTGGCTTCAGCTGTCACACTAAATACCAGGTCAGAGAAAGTATACACAGAGGCTACTCTCCTTTTGAAGATCAGGGGACACCCATTTGTCACAGGGCAGACCACTTAGAACCAGCAGAAGGAATGATGACTTTGAGCCATATTTTCAGTGGTTTGGTTGGAGAGAAGTGCAGTATCCCTAGCTGTTCAAATGTATGGCTACCCCATGCAGTCTGCACCGAAGCCCAGACTCATAGCACTCAGCACCCTGGAGACTTGCTACCCAGAACATCTCTCCCTACACTGTGCTATGACATCAAGAGTAGGGTAGCCAGATGCTGTTTCTGTGCCAGTGGAAGAATTCATCCTCACCTTTTGTGATTTCTTTATATTCTGTGCTACCGGAGCAGCATATGGGGGCCTAGAATTGTCCCTTAAGCTTAGGCACATTCTCATTGTCTGAGTCAAATGATAGGCATGGCTCTATACAAACAGGAGTATGAGTAAACAGAATATTTTACCTGTGTATTTGGCACTACTGTGACCACTCCTGGCATACCGTGTCCAGTTCTGCTGCCTAATGTTTCAGGAGCATGTTGGTAAATTGGACTGGGTTGAGAGAAGAGCCACAAGAATGTTTAAAGGATTAGAAGACGTGCCTTCTAGCTATAAACTCAAGGCCCACAATATGAGTCTATGCCTACACTACACTTCATTTTCAGAAAAAGGTACAGAGATTGTGCTCCGCAATTTGCGTACCTTTTTCCAATTTTTTTTTTTTTTTGGAAGAGGCTTTTCTGAAATTTGGCCTGTTTACACTGGGCCAAATTTTGGAAAAACCTCTTTCAGAAGAGCCCTTCTTCCTCATGAAACAAGGTTTATAGGGCTTCCGAAAGAGCGCATCTGCTTTTCCACAAAAAATGTCAGAAGAGCTGATGCGTTCCCTGGACACAGCGGAGTTTTTCTGGAATATCTCTGGTATCCTGGAAAAACTCTATAGTGTAGACATAGCCTGAGTTATCTTAACAGCAAGACAGTTGAGAGATGGCTTGATTACAGTCAATAAATAGTCGACCAGAGGAAGGTGTAAAGCCATCCAGTGACTGGAAGTTGAAGCTACACAAATACAGAGTGAAATAAGGTGTATAGTTAACATCCTTGGAACAACGCACCAGTGTCAAGGTGGATTCTCCATCACTGACCATTTTAAAATAAGGATTGAATTTTTTTTTAAAAGGTCTGCTCTAGGAATGATGTTGTATAAGTTTGGTGGCCTGTATTCTACGGGACGACAGACTACATGATCAGAGTGCTCCCTTGTACACGTTTTTAAAGCTGTAATATTGAAACTATTTACTTGAGTTTCTCTTCTGCACATGGTCTGGAATTGAGACTCCATATTAACCACTGCCATGGGCTTGTGGATTTTGAATACTGAATTCTGTAGCTAGACTGTGCATTACATCCTTTTCATTCCAGAAATAACAAACATACTACAAGGGAAACATTGGAATCTAAGAATAATTATAATTAGCCAATACTGCCCTCTACCACATACACGTGATCAGAAGAAAACCCTGGCCCCAGGAGCAGTATTTACAACTTTACAAAGACATGTGAGCAGTTCTCTGGTAAGCCCTTATAAATAGCATTTACATATTAAAATAAATATGCCCACATTACCATAGTAGCAGGAGGTTTTTTCATTATTTAAAAAAATATGTTACAAAACAATATCATTAATTTTATATTTCTTACTTAATTTTTTAAAAACAATAAAAAAGTCATTTTATAAAATAATACAAAAGTAAATTGAGTATAAGAGTGTCCGTTCCTAACACATGTCCTTGGTTTATACATTATAATACATCAAGAGTTGCTGACCTCCAGGAAGTCATGTAATCCTTCACTTCTAGTTGGACAAAACAATCCAGTGCTTTTTTCATCATATGTTGTAAGTCTGTCATGTGAAACATTCTCAGCAAGGGTTAGAGTCCTTTTAGCTCTTGGGAAGGGTTCTCAGTACTGCTCCCCACTTCAGGCCACCTTGTATAGCACAAAGATTCTGAATGGCCCAAGATTGAGCCCTGAAGTTTAGAGGTAATGAGTTTCAGTCCAATGGTGTGAGCAAGAATCTGTTCACTTGTTTTCTTGACACACACTAAGTGTGCACAGGTGTGCATGAGAGCCAGAGTGCACATGTGCGTGTGAACATCTGCATGAGAATGGAGACGGTTAAAGAGTCTAGGAGAGAAGCGTGGAGGCTCCTCCCTCCTTATCTGATCATTCTGCCCCTTCGTGGAAAACCCTGTCTAGCTACCACTGCTCAGCATCCCCAGAAGTTTACTGGGCTCCAGACCCTGTTGCTGTGCCATCTTCTGAACATCAAAACCCATGTGCATGAGGAACTGGATCACATTCATCTCCTGCCCTGTGAACTGGTCCCGGATAGTAGGGCATGAGGGATTACAGTGGGGCCAGGGACAGCTGTCAATCAGATGGATTGGGCATCCCTTCAAAGGGGCTTTCCCATTTTTGTTGCTCTCATGCAGGCTGCGGTCCCAGCAGTGCAGAGCACGGGGTAATGACGTTCCTTTCACCTGGATGTCTGTCCAGTGACTGCAAAATCAAGCCATACAAATTGTATCAGTAGGGTTAGGGTATGCGTAGTACCACATTCCCTGTCTTGCTAACTCATAACATTTCGTGGACTCTGAAGAAGGACACTTACTTGCGTGTAATGATCTCATGAGATAAACAAGCTGGAGCAAAGCTAGCACTGAAAGGAAAGAAATACAGATATGGTGGGAAGGCAAAAAAGTGACTCTTCTCACACAATTTCCTCCCCCCAGTCCTGGAACTGGCTAGAAGTTCTGTTGCTGGCATCATGCCAGGATACCACAGTGCTAAGCAGGATATAAGACTCTGAATAGACTAGAAGAAGGTGGAAGTTTTAGAAAGTTGCACGTTTCCATAGCTTATTGGTTGGGTGCATTTAAAGGGGCTCATATGTGCTACAGTGACTTCCATGGATAGCTGACCTAACATAAAGCTTCTGAGACAAATAGGACGTTTCACATCATCCTTTCATCTTTTGCCAGAGTATTCTACGATCAGGGTCTCTTAAAACACCTCATTTTGTTTCAGAAATATTAAGAGCATGTTTCCTGATGCAGATTAAGTACAGAAGGCAAATAAATCAGATTGGTATCAAAAAGGCCACTGTGATGTGAAACTCCTCCAGACCAGTTTATGCAGGACTTCTTTTAGCATAAACACAGCCCAGCTTTTCCTACTGCAATACTCACGTCACATCCTTCAGGGTATTTCTGAGCTCCCGGCCCAGATTCTGGATGTAGAGCCATTGCCCCTCCTGGACGGGCTGTCCAGTTAGGTGCACATTATCTACAGTGAGCTGGGCCTCATCAAAAAGCCATTGCACCACAAATACTGGACCTAGAGGGAAAAGGAATTGGGAGAGAGTCTTCATCAGGTTAGCAGCAGTAATGAAGGAACTGCTTAGGCAGGCTTTTCTTTTTGCACTTACATCGAAGAGTCGGATAAATTTTATAGCCAAAAAAGCAATTCCATTCCTCTCCCTCTTTAAACTGCAGTTTGCAGCGTTCAGGAACAACGCCATTCCAGTATCTGAAAGACACAGCAATGGTGGGGTTAGTGCCACACAGTCTCATTCTGCTTGGACTGTCTCCGATTCACCAGAACACTGGGGCGTTTGCTGATTGCAGCTGGAGAGTCCGCTGAACCCGAATGAAGCAATGAGCACACAACCCTGCACAGAAGACCAGAGCTAGCCTTTCTTAAATCAGCTGGAAGGCAAGCAGGTGTGAACAGTACTTTTTAATCACACATGACTTATAAACAAGAAGGATTTATTAAACAATGCGATTTCATTAGACAACAATTCTCTGTTTTGGAGGTGGACTGACTGCTCAGATAACACTTTTCCCATCACAACCAGATCCTTGTTGATGGGAGCATTAGAGAGATGGCAATTTCAATTTATTAGTAACACCATTCTTCCCTGTGTCTGCCAGGTCACATCAATGTGTACTCAGGATGGTGTCTGCCATGTCACACAATCTCATTAGCATGCCTTTGAAATGATGGTTCTTTTCTTTAGAAGTAGAAGCTCATTCACAAAGGATGAGGAATGCGATAGGGATCTTAGAAATACAAAAAGGGTGCAAGGAAACAAGAGGAGCGGCAGAGCCCTGCCTCGGGATTTCTCCTCATCCTTAGCTCTTGGGGAAGGGTAGTTGAGAATATTTTACTGTACCTGATTCCTCTCCTAATTGCTTCTGTTGGGGCACAGGTTATGGTATCAATACAATCAGTTCTGCGGTACTGTTTATTATCCAGGAACCAGCCAGAGTCTGCCAGCCCTCGCACCTGAATCCCTTGATAACCCATCTCCTCCAGTTGCTCTGCTACTCGATCCACATTCAGAAGCACTCCAGTTCCCCCAGCACTGCAATGACAACATCAAGAGTTCAGACACAGACCTAACATAATTGCAAGACTATTAGCTGTGAAACAGACTGCTTTTAGAGTTCTGATGCACTGAGCAATTTGGGCATAATTAGTCACTAGCCAGCAAGTTATTTCCTCTCTTCATAAATTCTCAGAAATAAAAACAGTGCTAACAACCAAAGACCATCCATTTTATTTTCTTCTCTCTGGTATAGCTCTTTCCTGGTATTAGCCAGAGCTTTGGCAGGTCCAAATAAAGAGACCCTGAAACTTGGAGACAAAGTTTTCCATGTTTCTATTGTTGTCTAATTTTCTTGCCCCATAAATAAATTCCTTTGAATCAGAAGCTGAATGTCTCCTAGAGCCAGTATTTCTCCATCATTCCCTATTGCAGCAGATCTCACTGGAAGAGGCTGAGAGAAGTAGGAGTTTTCCCCCCACCAGTGCTTCTGCCTCACTCCTCATAGCACCAATCACCCAGGAGCTTCTGTAATTGCTCTCATTGTCTGTATTTCTTCCCGGTAGGACTGTCTTCCACAGACCTTACCTACTTCCTGCCAGCAGAAGGACCTTTGCATTACTCAGGCCTTTCCCCACCAGCTCTTTTACGACCTCCTGTATGATGAGGGCTCCCATGAAGGCATATTCACCTGGAAAAGAGAGAGTTCACCATCAACAGGACTGAGGTGTAGGCTTCCTTCACATATCCCCATCCCACCGTGTCTGAGGACCCTGAAGGCAGAGAAGCTGTTTGAAGTGAAGAAGTTGGACCATTTGACGCCTTTTTACAAGGATATTTACAAACTTTAAACTCGGAAAACGTTAGTCCACAGGAAAGTGAGAGTGAGCCAGGCAGGGGCTGAGGCCCTTCCCTGTCACAGGCTTTCCCTGGCTTGATCCTTTGTAGTTCCAGCCCTGACATCAAGCAGATAGGATTCCAGAGTAAGTCAGACACTACATAGACAAGGAATTACATCCTCTGCGCCACTGCATTGCACCTGCCTCTGGAACAAGACACAGTAGCTGCTTAATGCTGCACAGCTATGCTGAATGGTAGGGTAAGACGAGGAAAATAATAATACATCCAATTGAAACCAGAGGGGCAAGAGATAGCTCAGTGGTTTGAACCTTAGCCTGCTAAACCCTGGGTTGTGAGTTCAATCCTTGAGGGGGCCATTTAGGAATCTGGGGCAAATCTGTCAGGGATGGTACTGGGTGCTGCTGTGAGGGCAGAGGACTAGACTCAATGACCTCTCAAGGTCCCTTCCAGCTCTGAGAAGATAGATCTCCAGTTGTTATTATTATCTCTCACTTGCAATTTAGCCAGGACACCAGAGCTAAAACCCTTCTTCTTGCAAAAACTGGCCTGGGCACCCACAAGTTATGAGAACATCAATTTCACATGTCAGTGGAAAGATGACATATCCAGCCGCACAAAGGCTGACAGCACTGATTCAGAAGGAAGCATGTGTCACTAGTACTAGTGCATGCAGCACCTTTGGACAGATGCTCCTGTTAGGTACACCGGGGCTATGTCTACACTGGCGGGTTCTTGTGCAGCTCCTGCCCAAGAAGGGTGGGGTGCACATCCATTTAGGACAGGAATGAGACAATTAATTACACTTATCACTCAAGTCAACAATATGAGGGCTACATTATAAGCCATGGTGCCCCAGTCGCTCCATTTAATTAGCAGTGTAAGCAGGGTGGCAGAGGCTTATCTAAAAGGAAAGGCTGCTTCAGGAACTCCAGGTGCAGCCTGCAAGGATTAGATATGTATCTGTGGGGCTCTGAACCATGTCCCTGCAGGATGTGATAAGGAGAGAGGGATGTTTTATCCAGAGATTACTTGTAGGAAAAAGCTGATCTTTCATTCACAATTTCAGAGAAATCAGGCTGTGTTCGCTAAAGTGTGACAATTGTCTGGCAGACAGCACATCAGCAGCACTCACTTTTCTCTGATTTGGAAGAGGCACCACTCCAAACATCACTTGAGCAATAGGGGATGAAGCTGCAAGAGATGAGAAGTTTGTGAGCACTGATGTTCCCATGACATACAGAGTGGTGAGGCAGAAGTCAAGGAATTGGAAGGAAATCCTGCAGAGAAGGGAAGGGACCAGTTTTTGCTCAGTGAGAGGCTTATACCATCCCCTGGAATACTCAAAGGAAGGATTAACAGTTGCATGTTTTCCCTTCTGGATGTCAGCCTTATGCAGAAATCTTTTTATTGCTCTAATTATGAGGCATTGGGCTCCAGTGACCAAAGCACAAATCTAAATTTGAATCCCAGCTGGGTGATGTTGGGTATATCACTGTCTTTGTGCTTCAGTTTCCCTCTGTAAAATGGGGAGAACTCACCTGCTCTGTATAGTTAGTATAATAAGAATTGTTAGTAATGGAATTATCTTCCCATCACTTAGCTTTCTGTCCCCAGCTGCTCACCCATCTCTGCATCTCTTTCTTTCTTACAGCACCGCAGTCCAGAGGCTCTATGTATAAGCACATGCAAGCCAAACTCCCCATCCTACGGCTCCTGCCTGAACAGAACCCTCTGAAGCTCACTGAGAACCGTCAGGCACAGCACCAGCCACGAAGCCTGATATGGTATTTTCCAGTTTATTCCTTTGGGAAAGACCCTCTGAGATTTTCCCAGTTTTGCTTGAGGTTCATCATTAGACCAACATATAACTTCAGCTGAACTGGACACAGGTAACTCTGGACCTTGTCTACACCGGGCCTGAGAAAGCTGAAATGGTAGTCAGAACTATAGGGTTTTCCTTTTTGCCAAAGATTAATATGCTGTCTGCTGTTGTAACTCCCTTCCCTTGCTGTCCTGGGAAGCAGTAGACTTCCCATTTTTACTGTCTCTGGGGTGTAATCCACTTCCCTTATATCATTTCTGGAATAGAAACTTGTTCCCTCAGTGCCCCTCCTTACACCATGTTTGCGTTCCACCAGTGTGGATTTTCTTCTGGCTGCGACGACAGGATCCCAGTTCCTGCAGATGGATGACAAGAAATAAGAAATATACAAACGCTGTTCTCAGATTGAAAAGCTATAGGAACGAGTCTCGTGTGGGTGCTCAGCCTGTACAGAAGGGGAACCGACTTTGGGAAAGCTATTGGTGAAGTAGGAGAAGAGAGGAAATGGATCTGTGCTTGCGTCTGGGTGGATGTGATTTTCAGTCTGATTCACATCAGAGGTGAACCCCAGCACTTCAAGTCACATTACATCTCATGATGAAGAGACTCTGTAATACCTACATCTAAGTACACTCTCCCTGCAACCAAGGCTCCCTCTGCAGCAGTGCAACCCCACAGCTGCTTAACAAGCCCCACCAGGGGTTCAAGGCTCTACGCAGGGAGCTACCTGGCTGAGGGAGGGGCACTTCTCCCTTAGCTACAGCAGCAGCTCCCTGCCGAGGACAGAGCAGCTCTGTTCAGTCTCAAAGAGGGGAGAGATGTGACAAAGTCAGGACTGTATTCACTCTGCTTTGTTATGTTGCGTGTGATTTCTACTGTCCTGTAATAACCCCATGTGTGTGCCTCAGTTTCCCTGGGCACTGCACCATCATCTAGAATTCCAGGTGTGACTCACTGGGGGAGGATGCCCAGGCCACCATGTTCACAACGGCCCAGGCTCACTGAGCCCGGGAGAGTTGTGACACTTTTTGCCCAGGGAAGCTGGAAGCGAGGCTGGCTGCAGACTCAGAGGGATAAACTAGAGAGGTTGGAAGTCATTCTCGCTGGTTTAGGGGGCAGGGGCCTGGCCTCTGGGCCTCCTTCTCCCCAAGATGGGTTGTATGGACTGCTCCTGGTTCCTGTGCTAACAAGTTTGTTTTCTGCTGTATCCCTCTAAGCTAATAACCCTTCTGCTCTACCTTCTGGCAGAGAGCCACATCAAGCTGTAGATGGGGGTGGAGGGCCCAGTGACTCCTCACACCTCGCTGGCAGAGGGGGCAGGAGTCTCTCCCAGCCAGCAGGGA